TAGCTATATTTTAATTGTTAAAGCCATAATGATAATTATCCCAAGCAAACCGGGGCAGCATTTAAGTGGTTTTCGGTAAGAATTACGATTGGTCTTTAATATATATAGTATCCGTCGACCTTTGAAAACCTCTGTTTTGAAACCTCAAAAGTTTTTCAATGACTTACATAATAATTGTATCATCGTAAACAGTGTAGAATTTTTTATAGATAAATAAATTAACCATTGGAAAGAAAACTATCAGGTATATATAACATGTCAAACTAACAACTATAATGAAAAACATAATTGTTATGAGTCGTATGCAGTAATTTAAATCACCACTATTTCTATTTATGGCACTGCAGCGTGATAAGCCCGTGGCAGAGATTGAATCAATTTTCCTTATTCTGTACTCTATAACCATTACTCTTTTCTCAATTAGTCATCCAGTGCGGTAAAAATTCCTCCCGCAAATAATCTACACTAGATAGGGTGTCCCGTAAGTGGAGGTAAATTTTTATAGGAGTGAAGCTGTCTCAAGAGCTACAAAAAAAAGTCATATAAACGATGGACTAATTTTCAGTAGAAAAAATAGGAAATCCAAGCTTTGTGTTTTTTTAAAGTTAGTACAGAGGTGCACATCCCCTCCCCCCTTCTCTAAGGCCGATGGCGCATAAACCTTCCCTCATACATCTATAGATATTTTATTCCTATTTTTTTCTTAAAAACAGTGCAAACGAAAGTATAATTTAAATATTCGCAGATTATATATACCTTATATAGTAATATATATATATATATATATATATATATATATATAGGTAATTATACATACTGCTATCTGTTCCATGCTTCCATTTGTCTTTTAATTTTAAGATTTTCATATTGAGAATTCATAACCCCGTCGAAATGTGCCCCCCTTATAAATTTTGATGGCGCAACTTGCGCAATGAAACTCCCTTCTGGGTCCACCTGAATCATTACTTTTTTTTTTTTTTGTTGAATAGGAAACGATAACTAAATAAATATTTAATTGAAGTAATTAACAACTTTTAATTTTGCTTCACTATAAATTAGACGAAATATACTTTAAATGAAAATTGAGTTTGTCACTAATAAAACCATTTAAAGAGGATTTTTGAGCGACTACACTAAGCTAAGTTCTGTTTTTACAAAAACCATACATTATTCGCGATTTTGTTGTATCATCATCCAACAATACTACAGATACTTCACAATACACTTTAAGAAAAACTTCTTTGTTTAATGCGCTTTAAATCTATAATAATTAAGTTTATGTTGATGTTTATCGAGATATTATTTTATTGAATATACAAATAAAGATGTATCGCTGATGTCATTTGTACGTCTAATGCATTAGGGAGTTCTCATTGGGGCATGCTATTTAAAAATTGAGAGTGTTTCTTAAAACATCTTAATCTTTATCAATCTCAAAATTATCTTGACAGATCACAATTCTGCAAAGTTATTAGTAACTCATTTTGCGATATACTTCAGTCCTAAATATATTACATATCGTCGGTTTATTGCAAAAAAAACATTAAATACATTTCTGATGGAGCTAAATTAAAAAAATATTGACCTTATTTATGGATACAAAAACACAGTAATTTAATCAAAATAGTCCAAATCCTTTCATATATCAAATATAGTTGCGCTAACTGAATTATGTTCTTATTTAATAAAGGGATTATTCATCAAAGTACTCATTTGTTTGATTATACGAAATGTCACTTAATGACTTTGGCTATTGGTTTATTAACCAATGATATGCCAGTTTGTTTTGCCCTATGTACTTACAAAAGAATATTAAATTGAAATAAATGAATTAAAGTTAACTAGAATGAGTGAAAAATAAAAGTTATTGAAGACAACTGTGTCCCTGAAAAACAACCTCGCATTGGTTTATGCGTAAGTGGAATGATATATGCATGATGCATAAATCTGGGCGTAATGACAACGAATGAAGAAATCTATTGACAAAGGAATTGATTAGAAGGACAGGCAGTTAGGGACCCTGATAGTAAGGTTAAAGGAAACGGAAGCAGCATAAAGCACCACGAATAAGAACATGGCGAGGAAAAGTTTGTGCAGTAGAAAATACGATGTGTGTTGTCGACATTGACCAATCCAATGTCAACAGAACGGCTCTGACCTGTTGTGTTTACTGAGTAGTGCTTATAAATAATTGAAAATTTTTAATCAAGCGTAGTAATGGAATTTCTTTCCTTTCAAAAAAAAAAACAATGTACATTTGAATTATTCAGAAACGTTATTTTCTAAATTCCATGTAGAATTGGGCCCCCAAAATAGATATTTTTTTTTGGAAGGCGGAACTATGATGGGGAGAGAGCGGCTTTTGGGCTAGTGATGGGGTGTTACAGAGATGTGATTCACAGTGCCAACAGTGATCGTCAATGTTGGAGCACAGTGATCATCACTGGGATGAAGTGATTTCATAGCGGCTATAGTGACTGTCACTGTGATTTCGGTGCACCTATCTCTGTGATCACCACCTCCAGCCCAGTCACTGTGACAGAATCCCAGCTCCGCCTATGTGGTCAAAGACAAGAATCACATAAACACCAGGTAGTTTATTTATTTTTCTTCCAAAGTAATAATCATTATATATATATATATATATATATATATATATATAAAAGGTTTCAGGCTGAAATAGGGAAGACAGGATAATGGTTAATGACTATTTTTTTTTAAATAACGGTCAAATCTAGAAAAAAAAAATCTTATTAGATTATGTTAAACATAAGAAATGTCAGCCCTGTTACATAATTGATTCCTGAGCTGAATTCCAGAGATCATCATATCAAAAAAAAAAAAAATCTATTTTGTACATATTTTTCATATTACAATAAGTTTAATTCAAATGTGTTTGTATGTTTTTAGGTTGTTTTTTGAAAACAAAAAATTCTAAAAATCATTTATTATTTTGATATTCAAGTTAAAGTAAAAGGTTAACCCATAGTATTTTCATCGAATTTTAGTTCAATATTTTTAATAGTTTTCGTGACAAAAGATTTAAGAATAACAGATAAAAGTTACACCACAGTAATTTAGAAAAATACTTCTATCTTGATTCCTACCTTGAGAAATAATAATAAATTGCAAATTAAAATTATATCATTGTAAAATCAAGATTGATACAGAACTGCAATCTTAAAATTAATCTTTTTTAACTATTGTCGAACTTTAACCTTAAGTTATTGAAGATTCCTAAGAATTGAAGACAGGCACTAGAAGATTCCTTATTTTGTTTCTAGATATCTTTACAAATTAAAATTAAAATAATAATTTATTCTGTTCAATTATAAACTCTATTCTTATTCTTGTGGTGAATTTTAGCTTATCAGAGGTTGTCCTCTTGAATTAAATTGATTATTCCTAAATTTTGATTTTTAGAGCTGCCATCGAAATATAAATGTTTGATAGAAATAAATACTCTTAGATCGGTCTGATTAAATTTTACCCAATTAAGAAAGCATTCAAATTTTAATATATATATTTGTAATTAATTGGTGAAAAAAATAGTGAGCAAGGAAAATAATTCTACAGATTCAAACTTAGTACCACAAGAGTTTGGCTTTATACTGCCTTCTAATTTTGAGTGAGCTATTGTTCCTATGAATTTCTTTATCCATTAAAGAAATAATCTAAGATTGAGTTTTAAAACTACTCTCCTGAAAAACGAGATGCAGGAATTCCTGGTATCAAGTTGATAATGAAATGAAATATTCATCAGGTCAAATATTATTTAAATGAAATACAAATAGAAAGATATGTATTCATGGAAAATTTAAATATTTTATATTTCTTCTGGTTGCATTAATAACAGCATGGATTTTTCCAGTCATAGTGTTACTAATTGTTAACTAAGGTATAGCATCCTTAATCTCTACTGGTTAAGTTCGTAACTCTTATAAACAATACTCACAGGAGAACTGATTTTTAGCCTGATTCTTCTTAGTTGATCACATAAGTTGCATTCCCAAGTCTTTCAACCTGAGTTACGGCTTGTAGAATATCTGTTATATAACTCTCTGTATAAAGGGATACTGGCTCATTACATGAAATCTATCCTTACTAGTAATGATAAAACAGCTCACTTTATTACCCACTCTTGAGCTACAATGGTACCCCTAGTCTTACATCCTCTTCACCTTCTCGATACAATAACTAGTTGTCCTTATTGAATGCAAAGAGAAATTCTTTAGTATTATATTGAATTAGTTAATGGAACCTCTGTCCACATTGCAAATATGGGATAAACTGAAAAATTGTTTCATGTTAAACATGGATGAGTATACCTAAATACTAATATTTTTGTAAAAGTCATCAATACAATATATAAATTGATCCTCTGGGAGAAAAACTGCCTGGAGAAATCTAGCCAAACTAGCCTAGTCCAACCTATAAAAATGTTTGCTTACATGTCTGACATGAAAAGCAAACACTATTGTAGAATAATTCAACATAAAATGGTGGATATATTGTTGGCCATAGAATGAATAAGAATAGAAGTTGGTTGGGAGTGTAATCATAAATGAAATTACATACAAATAAAAAGTCTTATTTAATTGTATAATGATGTTATTATATTATTATTAAATTGAAATATTTTTTCACTGATTATTAAACGAAAAAACATTCATCCTTATTACAGTGGAATATTTGCTCGGATTAAAAGACAAAAAAAAATTATTATATAGAAGAAATAAAACATATTTGTTGACCCACATTAAATCTAAGATAATTTTTTTTTTTAAACCGACATTCACAGTTTTTCTTCTATGATTACTGTTCTGTCAGAAATTAAAAAGGTAGAGATATTTCCTGTATTATCAATTTTCAGGCAAAAATAGACTTATAAACTATTGCATTTAAAAGTTGGATGCTTTTATTTAAATGCTATTATATATTTGTCTTTCAATTAAGTTGTTTTTTTTTCCCCTGACTAACAATATTCTGAATTGTTTTAGGCTATAATTTATCCATGGGGATTTACAGATCAGCTTCCCGCTGATTGGGAAGAATTAGTGAGTATAACAAAAAGGTTTAATTAAAACTTATTTTCAAACTGATGTCTAATGGTTATTTTACTTCATTTTGTAGGATAAATGTGCTAAATTAGCAGCAGAGGCTATGTCAAAAGTGAATGGTAGCATTTACACAGTCGGTCCTACAACAACTACTGTTGGTAAGTAATTATTGATTGTTTTTCACAGTTAATTTCGTGACCTGCATATGTTGATTATAAAATTGACAATAAGTAGAATAAATGAAATTTTAAAAAAAGGTTCTGATTAGTGTATGTTTATAGCATTTGTTTATATTTATAGGAAACTGCATACTTAACTGTAACTTTGGACTACTTGGTCATAAATTACATCTAGGTCTTTTATAATGAAAATCTAGATATAATTTACAATCCATCCAACAGTTAGCGATTAGGACAAATTAGGTTAAGATGATCTTTATCTCGTTCTCACTACTTTTCCAGTATGAATCCAATTGACTCCTTAAGGTCTAAATAGTACCAACGTCTGTGACAGATCAAGACAAGTGGGAATCTAAGCAGTAAACATTTTGGGATCCTCTCCGGTAAAAAAATATTTTTCTTTGAGGCAATAAAATAAAAATTTTGTTTTTAGATTTGTTTTATGGAGAATTTGAACCTTTTTGGGAACTCCAAGTTAAGATATTTTAACATTTGAGATTCCTTTGAGACCCCATGCTATCCGGCTCTACATGTCTCTGTAGTCCGCTCACCACTGAACCCTCCACTCAGTAAGTGGATGGAATGAATTAAGAAGATATTGGTTAAGGAGGAAATGACACTGGAAATGCTAAACTATTTTAATGTGTGACAATGTTTTGATATAATTTGAAGGCTAAGCAAAACAAGATACAACAATGGAGGTAAAGAAAAAAAAAAGAATAAAAATTGAAGTAGCAAGATACTGTGTAATATTTCCTCAAACTCCTACTACATGTAAATACTTATTTTTTCTATCTTTTATACTTCTTCAGTATTTTGCTTGGCCCTAAGCAGGAGGACACGATGGCCGAGTACATTGGGGTGTGGATCCTGGAATGCCTGTTTCTGAACGTTGTTGGTTAGATTCTCACCAGGGTCAGTTAATTTTCATTTCTCGGCAGTCCCCGGAAATGGATCTTGACATTTTCACTGTGATAAGGACGCGCAGGCAACCCCAACGAAACCTTCAGAGTTAGCAAAAGGGACCATGCGGCCCACTTGTTGGCCTAGTTCTCGCAACCAGTACCAGTAGCCCTAAGCAGAGGTGCCCAGAAGGGGGTTTTATGGCACAAGTTTCAACATTAAAAATTTTCAGGGAGGCACTTTTTGACGAGGGTTTGAATTTTTGAGGGGGGGCACATTTCGACGGAGTTATGAATTTTTGGAGTGAAAGTTTTCATACCAATGAACATAGGAAAACCATAGACTCGGCCACAGCCAGTGTAATTGTAAAAGCCAAGATGTTAAGAGAAACTAGGTCCTATTGGAAAGAGAGCTACCTCAATCTGTGACCGAGAATAACTTCTTGTTCTTTAAAGATTTCGTTTACAGGTGGCTGTGAATGGTGGAAAAACTATCCATTTTTATCCATCCGTTTTTTGCATGGTTTGATAAAGCAGTAACTGTTTTTAAATTAGGTTTAACGGTACTTTTGTGCTTATATATTCTTGTTTTTATATCGATCAATGTCATTCCTATGTATGATTTGTCGCAATTTTTACAGGGGATATCATAAATTAAATTTCTATTGTTTTGGAAAGGTGTTGGGTTCTTTGTCCTTCCTATAGAAGTTTCCTATAGGGTGTTTGGGTTTGAGGTCGAATTTGAAATCGTCTATGTCTAATTTTTTAAAGGTTTTTGTATATTGTATGTCAGTTTGTTGATGTACGTTAAGGATTTGAATTTTTTATTATTAATTTTTGTGGAAATTGGTTCGAGTACATTACTATTTTCTGAATTTTGTTTTGGTTCAGTGTCTTTTGTATTAGTTAGTTAGTTGGTGTTGAAGAACTGTTTTAAACTGGTTCGGGTTGGGGGCTGATACATATTAAGTTGATAATAGGTTCATTACCATCTCTATTTTCTGTAAGGCTATTGTGAGTAGTGTTATTTTCTGTTTGTTTTTTTGTTGCTATTGGTAATTCCTTTTGTTTATTTACTGCCTTATAACATGTTTGTTATTAATTTTATTATTAATTTCTTTCATATATATATATATATATATATATATATATATATATATATATATATATATATATATATATGTATATGTATATATTGTCTGTAATTTTAATTGCTTTATTAATCAAATTGTTAACTACATTAATGATTTGCATTTTAGGGTGATTAGAGCAGAAATTGAGGATATTTTCTGAAGTCATTGATTTTCTATACCATTTAGAATATATTTTTGTTCCTTTTTTATGGATAATTTATGGATTTATCCAGATAATTTATACAATTGTTATTTTCTATTTTATCTGTAAATTCAATTTAGGATAGATTGAATAAAGTTATCAACCAATATATAATGCTCTTCATGTTTATATTAATATTGTATAATGTTTATATGATTATATAGACACATTTTTTTTTTTTTTATTAGGTCCTGGAGCAGGAGGCAGTGATGATTGGGCAAAAGGAGTCGCGAGAATAAAATATGTGTATACTCTGGAACTTCCTGGCCTGAATCATCCACAAGGAGGTTTTGCTCCGTTGGAGTCTTCCCTTGCACCTATGATACAGGAAACATTTGAGGGCATTAAGGCTTTTGTGAACTATTTGAAGTACAATAACAATCCATAACTATTTTGGAAGATAGTGGAATAAGCCAGCAAAAACATGTGCAATATTTATTTAATTTGTAAATAATTATTTTAAGAAGTCTATATGTTTCTGTTCAGTTCGATAAGTACAAAGTAGGTTAAGTTCTCTACTAATATATGAGTATTTCATTTATAAGTGGGTATCATTTCATGATCCTTTTAAGAAATAAATTCAACTCCAAATCACATTTTTTTAGATATGATGATTAAAATGATTATTTAGGTATGAAGTGAAAAAAATTTGTTTTAAAAATAAAAAAATGAAAGAAAGAATTAACTATTTGCCTTTGTTCCAAATAAAATCACGTATGTTTTCAATAATATTATTTTAATTGTTCACAAACAATATGATATTTAAATATCTCTCAAGTCAATTGTCTGAAATTATAAAGGCATTGTCATTATTACTTACTATTGTTATAATATATTAATAAGACTGATTATAGGTGCATCCACTAATTTGATTATACCTATGCTTTTTATAACTCATGGTCATTATTAAATGTATTAGATGTTTAATACTAATCCATTTTTTTTATCATTATTTCTTTTATATTCATGAAATTTACAACTGAATTAAATTAAAATACAAATGGTGGATGTGAAAAGATAAATATAATGACATGAAAAGACTTATAGAGATATTACCCATTGGCAGCAAACTAATAAAATTTCTACAGTAGGAGGTATAAAGAAAGCCATCTTCTCTACGGAGGACTGAGAGAGTTATCAGGAATTGAAGAAGAAGCAAGATTAGAAAAGAGAAGGTTTGGATGGTTCTGGAGTTTATTATAGAGTTACCTGTTTTGAACCTAGTGGACAACATATGGAAGATTAAGGTCATTATGGATGGTTTTATTTGTGACAATGCAAGGAGCATTGAGGATTTCATGAAGGATTGAATAAGAGAGGAATTAAATAGTTTCGTGCAGGCGCCTCCAATCTCAAAAGCCTGTCGACTAGATCCAATCTATAATGCTCGCAAGCACTTCCAATCCTGAACGTGAAAGTTTCTTTGGCTATATAGTAAAATATTGAAAAAACTACTAAAGATACACGAACTTTAGCAAATTACTTATACTAGAGGTTACTACAACAGTTATAGCATGGATTTTTCTCTTAGTTTAGTCACATCTTCTCGCAAGAGAAGGTTGAGAGGTACCGCCCCAGCTAGAATCTGCACTGTTTCATGTGAGATAAAACTGAATATAGACTTTCAGGGTCAATTAAACAATTTTTTTGTCTGCAGTTATTTTATGGATCTATTTTTTATAAATACTTAACTTTGAAGAACCTCTTAGATTGTGAGAACAAAATTCTTGTTCAAACTCTGGTTGTTATTAGGAAATCCAAATATTGCAGAATTTTTTTTTTAAGGCTAATCAGTGAAACAAACCATTTCATCAAATTATTTGCATACTAAACTGCTAGATATTTAATATAATTTTAGTGGTAAAAAATACTCTTGACTGTAAAAGGCTTATTGATTTAAAAAATATGTTATTGCTTAATTTATTAATTATTTTAAATAAAATATAAAAATGAATCTATATTCTTCTAACCCTATTTAAGCTCAAGACTTTCTAACATTTTATACGTAACAATGATTCATACATTAAGCTCTTATGCATTATGTTTTGATACAATAAAATATTTATGTTTAAATGAATATTTGTGTGCACTAAGATATTTTTTAAATAAATTGAAATAAAGCATATTTTAAATGATCAGAATGTAATCTCATTAATTCATATAAAATTAAAGTGGTATTGTTATTTTTATTCTTTTCATAATAAAAAAATTAATATTATTTTAGGAATAAAAAAGTATTTAAAGTAGAACAGTGACAAAGGAAATATTTTAACATAAAAAAGTTAAAACAAATTTTGTAATTAAAAATGCTATGCATTATTATTAACAAAATTAATATACTGAATATTAATTCTTATAATATAACTAACCAGAGACGGCCTTAGACATTCGGGATGCTCTCGGGCAGTGACGCCATCTCCTTCCGTAAAAAATTAAAATTATTTCTTAAGGGGTTATGTAATATTTATACATCATTTATAATGTATATACATTATATAATATTTGAATTTTTATTTCATTATAGATTTCTCTAATACAGTTGCTTTATTGATAGGCTAAAATTAATTATTTTGAGTGGTGAGTGCCTCTGTAGATCCTCCGGAGCCCCGGGGCAATTGCCTAAGTAGCCCCACCCTAAGGCCACCACTGAATATAACTATAATATTACTTATAACTTATACAAAACTAATTACAAATTTGTAACTAATTATTCATATATCAACGGATTCACAGGCCCAGACTTTCCTTTTGACCGGGAAGAGAGGAGGGAGGAAGAAGGATAAAAAAAAAATGGGGGAAGTTCATACTAATATGTAAAATTCAATGTAATTATTTTGAAACAAACAAATATAATACTGAATATTTAAAAATAAATTTATATATATATATATATATATATATATATATATATATATATATGTTTGTTTAGTAGTTAACCTTCTTTTCTGCATCTCCTGCATGTGGATATAAATGAAAATATCTGAACAAAACAATTGAATCTAGTACATATTTGGATATATACATTAACATGGGGGGAGGAGGGAAGAGACAGCCTCCATAACAGGTAAATTTTTTGTAAATGTCCCGGTCCCATTGTTTTCTCCCTGAACTATCATTCCAAAGCCTTAATTCCCTCACCTATGAAACCCTCTTGCATGATCTCTATGCTATCAAGTGGGACTCCATTTATTCCTTTAACTCCTTGATACCATGGCAGAAACCCTTACCACTCATCTTCACACCATCCTAGACCGCCATGCTTCTCTTATAACAAAAACTATCTGATGCTCTCCTTGGCTAACATCCACCCTGAGAGAATGTATGAGCAGAAGAGATGCTACAAAACAGTGGTTCAAAAGAACTCGACTTTCAGAAGATTACCTCTCCACCAAGCAACTCCAAAACAGCACTCAACATTCACTGTTTCCTTCCTCTCCAATTCATCTTTCCTGGTGCCAACTCTGGTTCCCCTGTCATTCTTCACTTTTTTAATCCCAATAATTTTTCTTTTCCTATATTACTCCTGGTGACCATCTTAAATCCATTCATAAATCCCAAAACAATTTCGTACCAGATAACATCGCATTTAAATTTATTCCCTCCATTCTCCCTATACTTTATCATATTTATAATTTTTCGTTTTAAAGTTCTACTTTCCCCTGCAATTGGAAAAGTTTTCCCTTCTTCGTCCACTAAATAAAATCTCCAAGCCCACAACCTCCAATGAATTATGTCCAATTTCCTTATTACCTAACCTTTCCAAATCTCTAGAATGATTAGTTCAATATCAATTGAACCACTATCTTGAATAAAATAACCTTCTGATCTGCCACCAATCTGGTTTTAGACGCTGCTATTCTACCCACTCACTCTGCTCTCATAAAAATCTCCCAAGATCTCCAAACAGCTATAGACCAACAGAAGTTCACCAGCCTTATTTTCCTTGATTTTTCCAAAGCCTTAGACTCAGTAGACCACAATATCTACCTAAACAAACTTAACCCTAGAAGAACACATATAAATACACCAACTCATTCTGACACACAGGGATGTGGTACACTCCAAACTTTAAACTATCATAAAATTTAATTCTCATATTCCGGAAAATTCAAATAGTTTTCAGAAATAAGCTAAATGATCAGGAAAACAAAAAAAATAAATAAATTCAAGGTAACCTTAGATAATATATTTTATTTGCTCACATAAAGTAAACAGTTAACATCTGTATTGCTAAAAAATCAAAAAGGATCAATATTTTCCAATTGAAAATACATACATAATAAAACCTACAGTGGAGGCCATTTAATGCCACTCATCTCACAATAATTCCAGCAAACTGTTGCCCTATGTTTATTGCAGATAGGTCTTGTCTTTTACATCGGGGACAAACCATTTTTGTCTTCCTATTTTTCCCTATTGTGCAAAACAAATATTTTTCAAAAGTAATTATTTATATTTTAATTACCAAACCTTCATTTCTGTGGAAACACAGCATTTATGTGAGTGTCTCCATTTGCAGTCTTCCTTTCAAACAGGGCTCAAGTAACGAATAGCCTAATCCAAATAAATAAGCTGTTTATACCAGCATGGTTCAACATTCCAAAGAAAAATAGGAGAGACAACCTTCTTGTTTTTCTTGCTGTACACATGAGACATTAGTTTAAAATTTGCTGCGCTGTCTTTATTTAATATGCTCCTTGCATCTTTTCTTCATTTTCTAACTCTCATAACAATTTATTGATTTCTTCAGAAGAATACATTTTTTTCGTATTTGCCATACTAACAAAATAGTTTCTATATATTAATGTCTAAATTGAAAATACCCCTAATTAACAAATAGAACATTAGAAATCCATACCTGAAGTTTCAAAATAACAAAGAAAACACTGGGGTACGAAATTTACAGAATAGTTACATAAACAGTCCACTGGGGTGTGAGGCACCCAGAAGAGTCCTGTAAACCACTAACGGATCAAGGATTTCATTTTTTGGGAGGAGTGCTTCAGCCCAAAAGATTTGTTTTTATAAATATATTAGGAGATGACTTTAGAAGAAAGAAAGAAACTAACTACCTCTATGAAATGATCTTTAAGTGATTGTTGAAGTCCTATTAACTGTAATTAAAAGAGCAATAATGCGTTTAAAGATCATTTTTTTCATAAAACATGGTTATATTTTACGATTGGGGCTTCAGTCCGAAAGTCCCCTCCCCATCCCCCCGTAGATCCGCCCGTGCTGTAAACAACACACTCACAATAATGTAATAAGTCCAACAATGGAGCGTTAATGACCGTAATTGGCCTTGCTAAGTATGATAACAAAGAACTACTTATACAAAAGTAATTTAATATATAAATGTTGTGGTATGTCGTTCCAAGTTTAAAGATATCTCCTTATCTTCAAGTGCCCTTCATTGGTTCCAATTCTTTCTCACTGATTGCTCCCAGTATGTTGTAGTCTCTAATAATCCCCCATCAGAGTCTCTATCCTTGCCCACAAGGTTTCTTCTTATTTCCCATCCTTTTTCCCATCTATATCAATGACCTACCATCCAGGAAGATATCAGCAGAATATATGCTTGGCCAAACCACAGTAGGCTCACTTTCGGGATTTCAAGAGATTCGCATATTATCCAGGATAGAACCGAGTTGAAGTGGCTCTATCCATCCTACCGCCATCAGTACTTCCTTGCACCCTTTCTATATCAGGCTATTTGAACCAATCGATTCTCGAACCAATCGAATAAAATTTGTTTACAAATTTACATTGATGTAAAAGTTTACATATATATATATATATATATATATATATATATATATATATATATGTATATATATATATATATATTTTTTTTTTTATGAAAGTGTGTTCAAATTACTCCAGATACTGAGTCCTGATATAAAGAAAATTATGAAGTCTTTTAAGTTTTGAGGAGGTGAGATGAACTCTCGCCATTTATTGGGTAGTAAAATATTTATGGGCTTACTTCTCAGCTTAGCCAAGCTATCTAGTAGACTTTTCCTGTTTTCTTAATTGATTTTATTTTACAATTGGTAAATGGTTGACTGTCGTGGATAATGAAGAGAAGAATAGTTGGGGTGGTCAGTCAAAACAGAAGGCAAAAATAAATGATAATATTTATTTTTACATATGCCGACGTTTCGACCTGAACTTTTACAAATTGTATTCATTTATGTAGATTATTTGCTATTGATTTTAATATTTTGTACTTCAATTATTTGGAGAGGCAGAATTAAATTTTCACTTCAATCTTTTATTATTTATTCTCCTCCCCGAAGTCTGCGCCTATGAACATTGTAGTTTTCTTGAAAAACTAGCTGTGAATATCACTCATCATGCCAGATGTGTTCTGTTCAGAAGGACTGAATCGGAAGACAATAATTACCAGAGGACGAGCAAAAGAAACAGAGCTCAAGAGGAAGCTGTTAGTACTCCGCCCCCGTGCTCAAGCTAATGCCTGCGCAAGCCTTTGCGCGCACACTGTGCCGGCTTCCAGGTAGTATAGGTTAATTGTTCGCGGAAGATGCTCATCCTCCATTCCAAGCGGCAGTTAAGCCTTCGCCGAGTAAGGGAAACTGCTTAGGCCTTATCCGAAGGAACGGGAAGTCTAAATCTGTAAGGGCCGTCGCCCTGGTCGTCGTAAACAGCCGCACGTTCCATAGTTGCGGAATAGTACCTACTGTTCAACTGGGATACACCATTTGATAAATGCTATAGATTATCCATCTAATAGAGGCCTAAACAAGATGTGTTTAAGATGGTGACTTAGTATAAGAAGCATGAACTCAATGAGAACAATAACTGCAACCTTTCAGGACAATTAGGTTATAATTTTAGTTCAAATACCTGGAATGGAAAGTGTTTATGATTCTTCATGGCCTGAAAAACATCTCATACTATAGAAGCTATGAGACTTGTTATTGTTGAGTAATGCCTTTTTATTTCTGACTTTATTACTGTAACCACAGAAACACCGGTGTCAGCTAATGGATTGTACGCACAATGGGTATATATCGATACCTATTGGGACGGTGAGGACGCGTCCCTCTAATGTTTGAAAATGG